GGTTTATGATCAAGTTTATCTATGAGAAATAATTGAATCTTCTTTGAATTCTTTTATGTGTGATTGGTTATCTTTGCAAGTCTCTTTGAAGTATCAGTTTGGTTTGGCCTACTAGATTGATCTTTCTTGCAACGAGAGAAGTGCTTAGCTTTGGGTTCAATCTTGCGGTGTCCTTTCCTAGTGATAGCAGGGGTAGCAAGGCACGTATTGTATTGTTGCCATCGAGGATAAAAAGATGGGGTTTATATCATATTGCATGAGTTTATCCCTCTACATCATGTCATCTTTCTTAATGCGTTACTCTGTTCTTCATGAACTTAATACTCTAGATGCAGGCAGGAGTCGGTCGATGTGTGGAGTAATAGTAGTAGATGCAGGCAGGAGTCGGTCTAGTTGTCACGGACGTGATGCCTATATACATGATCATGCCTAGATAATCTCATAACTATGCACTTTTTTATCAATTGCTCAACAGTAATTCGTTCACCCATCGTAATACTTATGCTATCTTGAGAGAAGCCACTAGTGAAACCTATGGCTCCCGGGTCTATCTTTTATCATATAAGTTTTCAATCTACTTTTATTTGCATCTTTTACTTTCCAATCTATATCATAAAAATACCAAAAATATTTATCTTATCTTATTATCTCTATCAGATCTCACTTTTGCAAGTTACTGTGAAGGGATCGACAACCCCTTTATCGCGTTGGTTGTGAGGTTCTTGTTTGTTTGTGTAGGTATGAGGGACTTTTGAGGAGCCTCCTACTGGATTGATACCTTGGTTCTCACAAACTGAGGGAAATACTTACGCTACTTTGTTGCATCACACTTTCCTCTTCAAGGGAAAAACCAACGCATGCTCAAGAGGTAGCAGTAGGCTCCTTCATAAACGTCAAAGATCCTGTCCCAAACGAGCTTTGCGTTGCTCAGATGGCTGGTGCGAGTGAACTCATCCTTGGTGAATCGAGAGCAGATGACGTTTTTTGCCCGAGCATCAAGTTGAGTGTCGTTGCGGATGTCATCGACACTATCCATCTTGTGGAGGTCAGTTAATCCCAGTTCAGTGACTATCCATAGCTCACTATTCATCGCCAAGAGATGCTTTCACATCATGACCTTCCAGTAGGGATAGTTCGTGCCATCAAAGATGTGACACGCAACAGATACCTTGATCATACCTACAGTTGACATAGCTAAAACTCCAGCTGGTTAAACCACAATCACACAGAACAAGGGAGTACCTTGCTCTATAGCAATTGAAAGAGCAGGTTTACTCCCAGTGGGGGTGAATGGGAGATTTTTATAAATTTGTCAAACTCTGATGAATTTGACGAAGATCAGAGTGAAGAAATATAAACTCGAGAGGAACTAAGTCATCACAGAAACAAAAGTCATGCATACAGGATACATACAAGTGAAGAACAAGTAATCGTACATGCATTCAAGCATATAGAATATGAACTAATAAAAGAAAAATAGCAATGATGAAAGTCTTCAGTTCAAATTCATCAGAAGGTAGATCACATATTATTCAGCAACAGAATAACTTAAAGTAAAGGGTGGGGAATTTGAAACCAGTTAGGCTCGGAGATGACATGATGATTTGGTAGACTAGTTCTAGTTGATGTATCAACTGTTTGTATGGTTGAGGCGGTTGAGTTGAACTCCGAAGACACTAAGTCTTCACATATTCCTCTTGAGCTAAAGTCACAATAGACCTCGCCCAATCACTCATCATAAGTCTTAAAGGTAGACTTCCAAAATCTTCACAAACTTGTTCACCAGCACATCACAAATACTCTTGGGTTCTCAGAACATGACGCCTAACCGTCTGGAAGAGTGACAGTATTCAAAAGTATCAGGTGTCGTATCACACATATTAACTCTTTTGTGATACTCGATCACTTTGGCTCTGGTTGAGTTTTTCCTCACTTGGGTTTCTCGCAAAGTCGTTAGAGGAACGATTGCTCTCAAATGACAAGTGTCAAGTTCTCTCTAGAGCAGCTAACCAACAAGTGGTTGTGGGGGCGGCTATTTATAGTCAGGGTCAACCCGATATGAATTGTCATAGATGCTCCTTCGGACATGACCATTGTCAGGATAAGAATCCAATCGACAGTTGGTAGTGGTGCAACAACAGCCAAAAAATTGAACTCTCAGTTTCGTCGGGGCACTCAGTTTCCTCACGGTAGGCAGATCGCACTGGTGAAATCCTAACTCCTTAGACTGTCCAAATTCGTCTAGAAGAACTGTGTCTCTCTCGCTAGCAAGTTCGTTAGCTCTGCCGGAGATTTCTAAAGGCTTTACTCGATGCGGCAAGAGTATGTATAGGTTTGAGCATCACTTCGGAAATATGATAGATGTATGACCTAGACCCCCTTTAACAGTACGGTGTTTCCTATGACTCAAGTAAGAAGAAAAATAAACTATGAAAATAAAGTCTTCAAGGTTCCAAGTCTTCACATCAATTTCTTCACAGCCGCACCAAATTCTTCACTTGAAAAAAATACATTTTTAGGGGTCCGCTTTCTTCGATTAAACCAAATCTTCAGGGACAATAACTCTTGTTTAAACTCACCAACACATTAGTTCCTTAACCCATTTGTCTTCAATACTCCAAAACCACTAGGGGCACTTGATGCACTTACAGCTGTACGGAGCTGGTGAGGCTAGAATTGCAGAGGAAAAGATATACCTACTTACCATGTGTTGTATGGCATGCCATAACATCGATGTATTGCTTACGTGTATCGTATGCAAGGACATCTCCAGTCAATCATATGTAAAATTGTATCTTAGAGCTTCCACATCATTGACGTCAAATAGAATGAATCGATAACTCAAAAGGGGAAAGAGCGACCACCGTCGGACCAATTTCCTTTTAATAAACTTTTGCCCTACGCAAATCCCATATGTCTCAAATGTTGTGTTGAGAGGCAACCAATGATTTCTTCTATCATATCTTGAGTAAATAGCATAAAACTACCACATTTGGGGCTAGAGTTCTGGAAAACTACCAACTTTTAAAAAAATCTCTTATAGCTACCATAAAATTGGTTTGTGAATTTAAAAACTACCATGTTGCACTAATGATCATGTTAGTTATTTTAACTGCAGTTGTGCCAGATTGGGTCCACTTGTCAAGTCTGACGTGGCATAAAAGTTAACTCCGTTAGCTTTGACCATTATGACAGGTGGAGCCCATATGCAGGCCCCTACAAAAAATAAAAGGCAATTGGGTCCCTATAAGTTCTATTTAAAAGCAATTAGGTCCATGTAAGTTAAAAAGCAATCTAGTCCATGTTATTAAAAAAAGAAGGTGGAGCCCATATGCAGGCCCCTACAAAAAATAAAAGGCAATCGGGTCCCTATAAGTTTATTTAAAAGCAATTAGGTCCATGTAAGTTAAAAAGCAATCAGGTCCATGTTATTAAAAAAGAAGCAATCGGGTCCCTCTTATTTTCTTTCAATCAAGTTAGCAGTACCCGCAATGCACGTCTACAACACAACTACTTCTTGCCCGCCCCCCAAATTGTGGTTTGCCTGATTAATTGCGGAGCACATATTTTTGTGATTAATTGTGCAACACACATTTTCGTGTGCCTTCTGCCGGAAGCAAAGTCGGATGATTCTCTACCTTAAATCCTTCTTTTAAACCACCATTGCATTTAAACCACCATTGCATTTAAACCACCATTATACTTCTTGAAAAATAGGAGGATAAACATTTGTCTCTGCATCAATCATGCATGTCCATTAATAAAACCATTATATATTAATTTTGTGTGAAGGATGATTTGCTAGCTAATTGTCTTTTGGTGATAATTTAGGCTTGTTTTTTTTGCGAATAATAATTTAGGCTTGGTTGTAAGCGTGAAACTCCGAATGCCTGATTTTCCAAGATTGTGTTTCTCTTGCATTAAAGGGTTCACGTGGTTTGTAGGATTTTTGCACTATTCCTATAGGATTTCTTGCTGCGGGATTTTTACCTTTGTGCGGCGTTCATTTTATGGGAATGGAGGCACTATATTTCTTTTTTTTATTTTGCTTTTTTTTATCTATTGACCTAAAGCATCATAGCTCAATTTCAAATATGAAGTTGCTTTCTTAGGATTATGTCCAAAACTGTGGCTTCTGTGACTTAGGTCCAGTTCTTTTGGTAGCCTTTTTAGGTTTATAGAATAAGTTGCCTCCTACCCAGCTTATTCTATAAGCCTAACAAAAAATATTTTTTAAAGCCTACTAGTTAAGTCTTAATTAGTAGGCTTCTAAACAATTAAATTTAGTTAGGCTTCAAGAATAAAGTGGGTAGGGAGTAGTTTATTCTAGAAGCCAGCAAAAGAACTGGCCTTAGCGTGTGAGTGTAATCTCGTGCACTCTCCTTCGCTTCACAAAGAGTCTTATGTATCAACTTGTCGAGTCAAGCTAACTGTACCTTGGCGCCCTAACAAGTTTGAAACTTGTTCGAAAAAGATTCCAAAAAAGGGCTCATTTCAAAAGAGAAAAAGATCATGATTCTACGCGGGTTGATGATGAGTCACCAGCGATCAGCACCATCACAAGCTGCAGCCCCATGGTCGTCGCCCATCCCCCACGGGGCCCGCCGGAAATCCAAACGGCGTGACAGCTCGCCCAATAGAATTCATCCTCTCCGGATTCCGCGCGCCCGCCAGCCAATCAGCTTCGAGATAACCACCTCCCTGGGTCCCGCCCCTCCCCTCCAGCCCACTCCCGTCGGGCCACGTCGTCGAAAAGGCCCTGCCAGGCCCACCGGCCCGCCCTTTTACCCGAATCACCCACACACGAACCCACGGGCGCTGCAGCGTGGGCCAGGGGTCGCCGTCCGGGCTCGCGGTTTAATAGAGGAAAAGGGCTCCGACCTCTCACCCCACACTGCTCTGGGTTAAGCGCTCGCTTAACTCTACTGAGCTAGTGTCAGCGGGGCAGGCGCGAGGGTGCCTAGCTAGCTCGGTCGCTCGTGTCTGACCTGACGAGATCGATGGCGAGCGCCGGCGCGGCGATCGGAGCGCGCGCGGCCCGCGCCTGCGACGGCTGCATGCGGCGGCGGGCGCGGTGGCACTGCGCCGCGGACGACGCCTACCTGTGCCAGGCGTGCGACGCCTCCGTCCACTCGGCCAACCCGCTCGCGCGGCGCCACCACCGGGTGCGCCTCCCCTCCTCGTCCTCGCCGGCGGCCACCTCCTCCCTCCAGCACGCCGACCCCGACGAGCCCGCGTGGCTGCACGGGCTCAAGCGCCGGCCGCGCACGCCGCGGTCCAAGCCCGGGACGGTGGGCAAGCACGGCGCGCCCGCCGCCGCGAAGGCCGCGGCTGCCTCGGCGGTCCCCGATCTCGAGGCGGAGGACTCCGGCTCCGGCATCGTGGGTGACAACGACGACGTCCACGGCGTGGAGGTCGACGACGAGGATCTCCTGTACCGCGTCCCGGTGTTCGACCCCATGCTCGCCGAGCTCTACAACCCCATGCCGGTCGACGAGTTCCGGGAGCCTCTCGAGCAGAAGCCCGCCGTCTGCTGCTTCTCGTCGCTTGCCAAGCAGCCGTCGTCGGAGTACGCCTCGGGCGTGGCCGGGGCGGCAGACGGGTTCACCGGTTTCGACGTCGTGCCGGACATGGAGCTCGCCAGCTTCGCCGCGGACATGGAGAGCCTGCTCATGGGAGGAGTAGAAGAGGGGTTCGACGACCTGCGGTTCTTGGACGAAGAGAAGCCCCAGCTGAACCTTGACTTCGACATGGCGGACTTCGATGATCAGAGCACCGCGGCGCCGGCGCCGGAGCAAGAGTCGTTAGAGGACAGGAAAAGGAAGCGGTCGGACTCGGGGATGATACTTAAGCTCGACTACGAGAGGGTCATCGACTCCTGGGCCCATGACGGCGGCTCGCCGTGGTTCTACGGCGAGCGCCCCCACATCGACCCCAGTGATGATTCCTGGCTGGAGTTACCGGTAAGCACTTGTCCTTGCTCCTAACATGTGATCTATGCACTTATTTCACTTCTGTACACATAAACTTGTCGTCTAATCAAGCTCGATCTGTTGCTTGGCATGGACAGGCGGGGAGCCGGGGGTTCGGGCTCGGCGCAGCGGTGACGGCGGTGACCGGCGGCGAGCGGGAGGCGCGGGTGTCGCGGTACCGGGAGAAGCGGCGGACGCGGCTGTTCGCCAAGAAGATCCGGTACGAGGTGCGCAAGCTCAACGCCGAGAAGCGGCCGCGGATGAAGGGCCGGTTCGTGAAGCGCACCGCGCTGCCACCGCTGCCGCCGCGGCCGCCGATGGTGCTCGCGGGCCACGGCCACGGCGGCGCGCACGGGCGCTTCCGTTTTTGAAAGCAAGCGCTCGACCGTTCGTCCGTGGATGCAGATGCATGCATGCATGCATGCCTGTGCATGCTCGAACGATAATCCGCTAATAAAATACTACTTCACCTACGTAGCTCTCGTTTTTTCTTGCTAGTTTTGAGCAGAAACCTCACCACGTACGTACGACTGAATATACACTTGTAGAATTTCATGTGCAAAGTATAGTAGCTATGTACCACAAGTCTTTGTATATACGCTCAATGGTTTAGGGTTGTTGTTGTTACTTTCGTCGTTTTTGTAAGGAATGTGTACTGATTACAACGGTTGTACTGTAGATGTTGATCTCAAAACGTAGGAGATACATTCATGGTACGATAGAGTTAGGGTAAGGGCTTGTAACTGAGAATGGTAGAGAGGAAGATCAAGCCTAGTTCGTGTATGTCAATGCATGCCTTCAAGCCTTCCATTCCTGATGTGTTGGGTAGCCTCGAACCAGGGCACAATCTATGAATCACAATCACAATGTGCTTATTTACAAGTCTACATATATATATGGTGTTTTCTACTGGTGTAAAGGTTGCATGACTTTTTTTTCCTCGATCGAAGGCTTGTACCATTATTTGGATCTAAACGTCTTGACACTTTGTATGTAGATATATATGAAATTTTTCGCTAGCTTTGCATCTAGTAGCTATAGACTGAAGAGCATGCCACTCACATATCTTAACGCCTCTTGGATTCAAACAATTTCTAAGGGCTCATTCGGTTTATAGGATTTCCGATCATAGAAACAGGAAAAGTAATGATTAGGGTGGCCTCTGTTCCTTAGGCTTTGGTTCAATAATGGTAAACACAACCGTAATCGGAATGGGATTGCGTAGGATGTACTTCACATATTTGTCGGAAATCCTCAGCGTAATTTATAATCTCCACATATTTATTTTGCTGTGACAATGCATCGAAAACTGCTAAACCAGCTCTTTGGATCGTCTCTTTGAAATTCACGGAAATTTGAAGAGAGATGAGGTTCATGCAACCAATCTCGTGTTACAATTCTTTCAAAATTCCTCCGGTTTGAGTTATCCAGTAGGATGTCTATTTATACAACCTGATTCATATGGTCATAGGGGTATCCATAAGAAAAATTCTAATGAATTAAAATCCTAACCCTTTGCTTCAACAAGTACATGGTCATAGGGGTATCCATAAGAAAATTTCTAATGAATTAAAATCCTAACCTTTGCTTCAACAAGTAAATTCAGATCATGTTACCAATCAACTTCTGCGATGTGGTGTATAGGTTATTTCAAAAATGGTTGATGCTCGCTTGAAGATAATTCTATCAGATATCATCAGCCCAACTCAGAGTGCTTTTGTGCCTAGAAGAATGATTACAGAAAATATTTTAGTGGCAAATGAGTGTTCCCACACAATAAAGAAGAAAAGGGCGGGTAAAGAAGGCTTGTATGCTATCAAACTGGACATGCACAAAGCATATGACCGAGTGGAATGGTGCTATTTAAAGGAAATTTTGTTGAAACTGAGATTCCAAGAAAATTGGGTGGATCTGTGTATCCTCTGTGGAGTACCGAGTTCGTTTTAATGTTG